TAAGGATTTCACCAGCAGGGGGCAAAAGAGACCACAGAAAGAAATTCAGTCCCCATGGGTGGTGATAAGAAATTTTACACATTTTTTAAGATGCTGATTCCTCTCTAAATTGAAGTGCATAATTGAAAAATTGGCCAGAGCTGTGCTGGCAGGTAGAATCCAATGAGATAGCCCGTACATGGAATATGTAATTTTCTATAATACAACAACAGGGTTGTGCTGTATAATAAGATTATTTGTTTTCTATTAATGTATTTTGCTAATTGGTTTAGTTTTATACAAAGCTATTGATTGATTTGCATTTCACCCTCTCTTCATTTTCTTGTTCTCAGTCCTCCCCCTTCTCCACAAACACACACAGTGACACAATCAAAAACATATCGACTCATAGATTCAGATATGCACAGAGTCCCCCCTACTGACTCAGATACAAACACATATTGTTGCACCCAGACACCCAGGCTTACACACATTCACAGTCACAAAGAGGTATACACACTCTCATGTAATGTTTCTCATGTACACACACACATTTGCACAGCCTTAGTAACACATATAGACAAGCACACAAACTAACAGTCTACATATGCACCCACAACCTCACACAAACACAAACTCACAACCACATACAGCGTCACAGATAAAGAGTTGCACAAATTTACACTGGGAAGGCCCACACATATACACACAGGCACACACTCTACCATCCACATGTACGCACACCCACCAACTTACATGCACATGTTGTCATAACAACCCACAGTCACATATTCATGTATATATACATACAGTCATCACACATATAGATACAAGTCCTTCACAAATATACACAAGGCCACAATCACATACAGGCATGAGTAGGTATAACTGTTTATTCATACACATATGTAAACTCACATATATAGGGAGACACTCACAGCGAGAGACATGCACACGCTAAAGGACATGGTGACTTTCGGTGACCTTAGCGCAAGAGTGATCCCTCGCCTATAAAGCTGTCACCATAAATTGGCTTCTACACACTCATGGGATAAAATTTTCAAAACCGCCTAAACTGCTACTTAGCCTAAGTCCTATTTCCAAAAGTGACCGAAGTTCTAAGGAGCTCTAGATTCATTGAAAGCTAATGAGTGTTAGGCTCCTAAATTTCCTAAGTGCTTTTGAAAATGTTACCCATAATCCTCTCCCTACACACCCTCTACATATCCTCCTTCTTCCTGTCATAATCTCTGAGGAGCAGAGGGTCACAGAAGGTTTCAAACTCTTATCTACCACCATGAGCGAGAGCAGAAAATTGACTCAGACACTTGTGCTAAATTATTTACTGCTAATGGTATTTTGTAAGTTGTCTCAGTTGTAAACTTCTTTCTTTCTTTCGTCATGTGCCCTTATCGGTAAAGTCGCTTGCATGCCTGTAAATCCACATTAAACTCACTGGTGACAGTACATTTACTCTGGGTTTACACCAGTGTAACTGGCACCTTAATTCAGGAAAATCACACTTGGAGCTGGATTAATCACTGTAACCAGCAAACCACTTATTTCCATGCTGCGCTACTTATTTATTCTGATTTCCTGTAAAATTTGTTTCGCAGGCAAAGGCTTCCTGTGCCACACAATATCTCAGACCCCCTCAGTCCTCACAGTGACGATGGGAAACAAAACAACGCTATGCTGCAATTATGATACTCCGCAAATGGACCCAGGTTTATACTGGTACCGTCTGGTTTCTAACAAAGCCCTTCAGCTCATCCTCTACAGGGATAATTCAAGGTCGTTTGATGCTCACTTTGTCAAGGAGCGCTTTTCTGTGAGGCGTGATCATGCCAGAAAAGCCTTCCACTTGCTGATATCTGCCGTCCTATCTGAAGACAGCACTACCTATTACTGTGCCATGCGCCCACAGTGCTTCCGCGTGTCTGTAGGGCTCTACAGTAACTGCACACTTGTGTATACGTGTAAATATATGTCTTTATACGTGTAAATAAAGGTAGGTCTTGTATTTAAGTCTGTGAACTGGGATTCTCGTCTCTTGGGTTCAATTCTTGGCTCTGGCAAAGATTCCCTGTGTGGTCATGGACAAGACCCTTACTCCAGGATTTTCAGAATTTAGAACTTTGTTTAATTTAAGTCTAAATCCCTTGGGTGGTTTTCAAAATCTCAGCCTTCATTTTCCTGGGCCTCCATACGCCACATGTACAACGAGGACAATGATATTTCCTGTTTTCCACCCTTTGCCTATTTACAGTGTAAGGCCTTTGGGGCCTGGGCATGCTCTTACGATGTGTCTGTACAGCACCCAGCACTATGTGGCCTAGATATGGGTGGGGACCACTAGATGCTATCGAAACACACATAATAATAACATCCACATTAGAGACTTCTTGTCTGTGTCAGAAAACAAAGTGATAAAACAAAGTATTCCAACTGTAATGCTATTCCCAACGCTAATTATACTCTCCACTTAATGATTAACCTTAACTTCAATACCTGACCCTATCCCTCATCCCACTCACCACTCCCCCTCAAAAATGTATGTAATTTATTTAAAAAATGTTTAACACTTCTGACACTAGTGGGAGCTCTTCATTTATCAGTTTAACTTGCAACCTAGCCATAAGAACAGAGTCTTTTCATGTTCTATAGAAACAGAGGGATGGATATTCATCAGTGTGACTCTATTGATTCTAGTGGAACTATGGCCAATTTATACCAGCTGCTGATCTGACCTTTTGACTTCAATGGGGCAAGTCTGATTTACACCAATTGGGGGGCCTGGCCCATTGATTCCAGTGGAGCTATGCTGATTCACACCACTTGAGGATCTGGCAGCCTGACTTCAGTTGCACTATACCCATTTCCACCAGGTGGGGATCTGTCCCAAGCTGTTTAAATGCTGGGCTTTTTTCAAATGTATGTTTGGTGGTTTGTAGCACATGACTTATTTGCAGTGTGAAACCGCAGCCCTCCAGCTTCATTCTGCTACTCTCTAGAAGCTGGCAGCGCTTCGGGGTGAGAAGTTGGTGTGAAGCGGAGCATTGTGGACAGACGTGTCTCTAAGATTCAGGTTACCACAGAAACCTTCTTCTTTATCAGACTGCCAAAAAAACCCTTGCCTCCCTGCAGCACCTGCCTGTTATCAGACTGCAGCAAAGACAACAATATTTTTTGTGTGTGTGAACTTTGAATGTCACTTGTTTCTCTGGTTTCGGAGTAGCAGGCGTGTTAGTCTGTATCCGTAAAATGAACAGGAGGACTTGTGGCACCTTAGAGACTAACACATTTATTTGAGCATAAATTTGTTAGTCTCTAAGGTGCCACAAATACTCCTGTACTTGTTTCTCTGTGACTCCTATGAAAATATGGGGAGGGGTTGAAATTGTTAGAATTTTCCAAAAAAAAGTATTGCTGCTAGTTTGGGGGGAAATAAATTCATAATTGCCATCTTTGCTTTAGATTGTATATACCTTGCAAACTTTGGACCTCTGAACATTCACAGCAAAGCATAATTTATAGATAGAGAGAAAAGACTATATGCTTTGTTGAAGTAACTGAACTTGAAGGAGACAATTCATGAAACTGAAAAGCAACAATTTTTAAACTGAGAAAAGGAAATACTTTTGCACACAGTGATAAGTTAGCTTGTGGAACTCATTGCCACAATAATTCATTGAAGCCAAGAGCCTGGCAGCATTCAGAAGAGGACTGGTCATCTACATGGAAATTAGAATATGCCTTTGTAGAAGTAGTGTTGGAAGAGAGGTAAATCCTCATAGTTCAGGATGGGAGCTAAATTTTAACTAATGAAGGTTAGGATGAAAGAAGGTTAGGTTGCTACCTATATTTGTCATATGTAATCAAAATAAGAATACAAGTGAAATTAAAAGATCAGTCATTTTAATTGGGTTTGAATTTATTAAGTCATAAAATAGATTTCAATATAATATTCAAGTAATAACTGGTCAAAAAATTTCCATTTAAAGATTTTTATGGAAAACTGGGTATTTAATTAAACACAATTTTACATGGGAAGTGTCTGCTTTCCTTGTTGTTGTTTTTTTATTGGAAACCCAAAAACTGAAAATTTTCAGCTGAAAAACAAAAACATTTTGGTTTCAGCAGTTTTGGGGCAAAAATATTTCAGTGTTTCAATTCAGTTGAAATTTTCTACTAAAAATTTTAATGCAAATGAAAACGTTTCATTTTTGTTAAAACTATTCATGAAGAAAACAAAACCATGGATAAATCTGGGTCCTAAAATGCACTCTTCAGTTAATATAATTCTGAATAAGAATGCTAATTTCAGTATAATTGTTTTTTCATATATCTGTCATATGTACATCAAACAAAATGAATCTCTTTAATTGGGTTTGACTTTATTAATACATAAAATATATTTGAATAACAAATCCATGTAATATAGCTAGAACAAACAAACTATACATGTTGCCATTTAATACAATTAAAAGAATATGACATTTAACTGCATCTGTTGAAACTAGCATTTCACATATCTAAAAAGCTCTGAATTAATTCAAAATTAAAATATACTGGAAAAAAATAAAAGAAAACCTAAAAGTGCTAGAGGAAAGTAAAATAAAATGAAGACCTAGTCAAAATTTTGTAGAAAATTGTTTTAGTTAAAAAGAGCTTTTATTCAAAAATTAAATTTTTCGCAAAAAAGATATTGTTTAAATATTTTTATTTTTTGTGAAAATTTTCACATTTATTGAAAATATCAAAATACTTATTTAAATTGTTCATTTGCTAAAAGGAAGGTTTTTGGTAGACTGAAAATTTTGATAACTATTTCAATAATATTTTCAATTGAAAATTAAATGTTTGTTATGTAAAATTTCAGTGAAGCTTTTTGGAAAACACAAAAATTGGCTCCATTTTGAAACCCTTCAAACATTTCAACTTTGAAATTTTGAATTTATTTTCATGTTTTGACCAGTTCTAATAAAGAATAAAAGCCAATGAATTATTTGCTATTGTCTTCAACCCATTGGTGGCTCATTTCGTCCAACCTGTAAGAAAAAGAGAAGTTCATGATTATTGTTAGTCCTAGACCAAAACCCACTCAAGTTAGTGGAAAGTCTCCCATTGAAGTCAATGGGTTTTGCATCACCTCCTTCAGGCAGAATTTTCAAAGGACCTAGGGGAATTAGGTGTCCAAGTGTTGTTGACTTCCAATGGGAGTTGGGCATCTAACTCCTTACCCATCCAAAAATAGACAAGACAGAGATCATTCTCCCCACTTTTTCTGGTGGGGAACCTAGGCCCATGGAACGTAAGACTGGAAGTGCCTTCTTTGGTCATCAGAGCCAACCTCCTGTGTCACAGGCAGTGTCATCATATAATCCCATTCATAAACATACAAAACTCCATCTTTAAACTACTTGTTTCCCCGAACTGCACCTTTTGGGAGGCTGCTCCAGAACTTCCCTCCTCTGATGGTTAGAAACCTTCTTCTACTTTCCAGTCTAAATGTATTCATGTCCAGTTTATACCCATTTGTTCGTGAGCCAACCCTGTCCCTTAGCTTCAATAGCCCTTTGGTGTTTACCCTGCTGAGCAATCCGATCTTCTGTCAACCTTCATTCTGCTAGGCTCAACAAGCCAAGCTCTTTAAATCTCCTCTCCTCACCTAAGATATGCCCTCCATTCCCCTGATCAACCTAGGAATCTCTCTGCAACCTGTTGCAGTTTGAATGCAGAGAGGTTAATGCAGAGATTTTCCAGGGAGCCTAAAACCCCTTTCAAAATTCCAACCTAAGGGTCAGATTTTGAAGGCATTTTGTCACATGCGGATGAAAATAGGTGCTGTTGGGATTTTCATAAGTACCCTGGGCGTTAGGCACCTAGTCCTTTTGAAAAACCCATTATGTATGTGCCTAAAAGTCTTTAAATTATGGCTTTTTGTGTCTTGCCTAAATTCATGTAGGGAATACCTGGACTTGAACCCAGCTCTTTAGAACCTAAGATCAGTGATTGAACCTCAAGGCCTTGCTTCTTCATTAGTAAAAGAGGAACAGGGGGGTGAGGGGGTGAGTGGACAATGGCGACTGAGCAACCTTCTTCCCCTATGCGTAATGCACACCTCTTTGGAGGACATAAAAAGGGTCAATGCACTGCATAAACCCCACTGACCCTGAGTTCTTACCTCAGAAATAAAGGTATCTAGTGACCATAAGCATATTCAAGGCAATGCTTTTCATTAGCAACACCCTCAAGCCCAGCACAATCATAGACAGCGCATTCATTTTCTCCATATCTTCATCTGCAAAAATGCAAGAGAGAGTGTGGCTTTGAAGTGATGATTTGCTGTCAGCACAAAAACAATGTGGTAAACAGATACATTTACTTTTGCAGCTGTAGAAACAGTGCAGAATGCAGACTCTAGGATAACAGATGTTCGGTACAGCTGGCAAAGGACAATTTTGCTCTAAATGTGATGATTTTACATGGTTCAGAGCACTAATAGTTTTCAGTGAGTCAAGCCACATTTCGGCCTAGATTCTCAACTGGAATAAATCAGTATACCCCTATAGAAGTCAATGGAAGCTATATGGGTTTACATCTGTTGAAGATCTGGTCTCTTGCCTTGATTCACCATTGAAATACAAGTTGACATTGATGTAACTCCACTGAAATCAATGGGGTTACAATGATGTAAAACTGGAGAAAGTCATAGTGAAACAAGCACTAAAATTCCACTTATTTTCAAACCAACCTTCAAGGTTAGGAGTTGAAGTTCTGCAGGCCTCAGTCAAGCTTGTGGTAGGTCCAGGAGTTGTTAAAACTGAAGAGAAAGAAAATGAAACACAAGTGATGAACACAAGCCTTCCATGATGAACAAATGAAATGTCTGAGAGTTTTGGTTCAGTTAACAGGTTTCAGAGTAGCAGCCGTGTTAGTCTGTATCCGCAAAAAGAACAGGAGTACTTGTGGCACCTTAGAGACTAACAAATTTATTAGAGCATAAGCTTTCGTGGGCTACAACCCATCCGAAGAAGTGGGTTGTAGCCCACGAAAGCTTATGCTCTTTGGTTCAGTTAAGTTTCTGAACCGAGATCCAGTTTCTTAGCCCATGTAAATAGGTGCAGCACTTTTGACTTTAGTGGAGCCACTGCAGTTAACATCATCCGGGACTGAGGCCCTGAAAGATTATCTCCCAATTTGTATCTATTTCACTTATTTAAAAGAATATTAATGGGTGATGTGCTTGCACTCTAAAAGTACCTACACAGGGAGAGGATTTCAGGAAAAGGTCTCCTTTATCCAGGAGACAAAACCAGAAGAAGATCTAGAGTAAATTTTTCACCAGTTTTTAAAGGTATTTAGCTATCTTGCAGCTAGGCACCTAAAGGGATTTTCAAAAGTGGATATCAATAGAAATTAAGAATCCAGGTGCATTTGAAAATTCCGCTAGGTGCATCTGTAAATGCCTAAATACCTTTTAAAAACTGTCCCGTCTTGACTTCGGAGCCTAAGTCCCATTTTCAAAAGAGATATAGGTATTTAGAAGCCAAAGTTTCATTGAACGTCACTGGAGTTTAGGCTTCAAAAGGCCAGACTTTAAAAGTAAGCAACTAAAGATGGAGGTAGGCATCCAGTAGTATTTTTAAAAGGGCATAAACAGGTTAGGAGCCTAAGACCTATTGGCTTTCAATTGGATTCAGGCACCTAATTTATTAGGTGCTTTTGCAAAACCTCACTAGATGCTGATCTTTATCTTTAGGCACATTAATACCTTTGTGAACAGGACCCATAGGTACGTTTGAAATGCCCTCTCCAAGTCAGTAATGTCAAACTGGGAATATTACACAACCTCTTAGCAGTGCGGGTAATTAACCGCACGGTGTTATCAAGGGAAGTGATAAATTCATCATCACATGGAGTCTTAGATTTTCAAAAATGATTAGGGCCACTAATTTGTAAATCCCTTATGCAGATTAAAAAATCTAAACTAGACACAAAAAATTGAGACTAGATGTCTGCCCACAAGTTCTAATCTACATAGTAAGGAAGAATCATTCCCTCCACTGCAAGAACTGCTGCACGGACTTCTCTGGCCTGGGTTCTGCAGGAACTCCATATTTTCTCCATATTTTCATCTGCAAAAATGCAAGAGAGATTGTGGCTTTGAAGTGATGATTTGCTATCAGCACAAAAACAATGTGGTAAATAAAGAGATACATTTATTTTTGCAGGTGTGGAAACAGTGCAGAATGTGCACTGGAAATCTGACTCTAGGATAACAGATGTTCGGTGCAGATCGCAAAGGACAATTTTGCCCTAAATGTGATGATTTTACATTGTTCAGAGCACTAATAGTTTTCAGTGAGTCAAACCACATTTCGGCCTAGATTCTCAACTGGAATAAATCAGTATACCCCGATAGATGTCAATGGAAGCTATTTGTATCTACATCAGTTGAAGATCTGGTCTCTTGCCTTGATTCACCATTGAAATACAAGTTGACATTGATGTAACTCCACTGAAATCAATGGGGTTACAATGATGTAAAACTGGAGTAAGTCATAGTGAAACAAGCACTAAAATTCCACTTATTTTCAAACCAACCTTCAAGGTTAGGAGTTGAAGTTCTGCAGGCCTCAGTCAAGCTTGTGGTAGGTCCAGGAGTTGTTAAAACTGAAGAGAAAGAAAATGAAATACAAGTGATGAACACAAGCCTTCCTTGATGAACAAATGAAATGTCTGAGAGTTTTGGTTCAGTTAAGTTTCTGAACCGAGATCCAGTTTCTTAGCCCATGTAAATAGGTGCAGCACTTTTGACTGTAGTGGTGCCACTCCAGTTTACCTCAGCTGGGTCTGAGACCCTGAAAGATTATCTCCCAATTTGTATCTATTTCACTTATTTAAAAGAATATTAATGGGTGATGTGCTCGCACTCTAAAAGTACCCACACAAGGAGAGGATTTCTGGCATAGGTCTCCTTTATCCAGGAAGGGGAAGACTCATTCCCTCCACTGCAAGAACTGCTGCATGGACTTCTCTGGCCTGGGTTCTGCAGGAACTCATATAAGATGATCATAATGCTCCCTTCTGGCCTTAAAAACCTATCCTTAGCTGGTAAAAATCAGTGTCGCTCCATTGACTTCAATGAAACAACAGTGGTTTACACGAGCTGAGGATCTCATCCAGTGTTAAAGAATCTACTAGGGGTGTCATTCTTCTCTGACCCATAACACCATACCTGGTGGTCTCTCTGAGGCGAGAATTTTATTAAACTTTTGGTTGTGGTGTTGTACTGAGCAATGCACATCTTGGTTCGATGTAATGTTGGCAACCTTTACAGCACGGTATTTTCCAGATGAAAGGACAGGCTCAGTGGTTTCATATAGAACTGGGCTGTCAGCATTCATGGACATCTTCAGTTCAGGAGGGTAGAAATCCCTTGCTAAACAAGCAATTGAACCACTGGAATCCGCAGACTTCAAAATCATGAGAGAAGGCTGAGAAGGTGTTGGGTTATCTGAAAGGAGGAATTGGTCATGTTGTCATGCATGGCAGTGCAAAAGCTCAACTCTGAATGTCACCGTGGTCACGAAAAGAAATCTCACAAAACATTTTCGGGTTAGGTGCTGAGTTTGAGGTTAGGAGTTACGGGCATAATGGCCAAGATCTTCTAAAGTGACTTGTGATTTGGTGGGCTTCAGTTTTTGGCTCCCCAATTTCGGACACCTTAAGGAGGCCTGATTCAAAATATACTCATCACTCACCCTCTGAAAATCAGTCTCCCTTATGGGATCTCAAGTTGGGCACCCAAAATTACTAGTACCTTTTGTGAATGAAGGCCTAAAGGTCCAAATTTAATGGCCGCAGCATTTTTATATATACACACAGAATTGGTAACTGAATTTCTACTCATGCATTTTCAAGTTCAGTTCTCTGATTTCATGAACAAATTCAAAGGCGAAGAAAGAAAATGTGTTTCTTTCTATTTGAATCTAAGGACTAGCGTCACCAGCAAATCTCTACCTTCTGAGCATCACTCCAGCAACCCAAAGCAGCCACAAGCCCAATTTAATCAGACAGTTAAGATGGTTTATGTCGCTGCGGAGCACAAAACAGCTTGAGCTATTTGTTTCTTTTCTAAGTCAATTTGTCAAGAAACCTCTTTTGAACAAAAGCACATTTTTGTTCTATGACCCTCTGCATGCCGGATATCTCTTCTACGCTGCAGAACTCCGATGCATGACGTGGTCCAAGTTCTGCCTTTGTTTATGCAGGTGCACATCTACTGAATTTAACGTGGTAATCCGCCTGTAACAGTGGGTGGAATTTGACCCTTTACTAGGCCAGGGGTAGGCAACCTATGGCACGCGTGCTGAAGGCGGCACATGAGCTGATTGTCAGTGGCACTCATGCTGCCCGGGTTCTGGCCACTGGTCCGGGGGGCTCTGCATTTTAATTGAATTTTAAATGAAGCTTCTTAAACATTTTAAGAACCTTATTTACTTTACATACAACAATAGTTTAGTTCTATATTATAGACTTATAGAAAGAGACCTTCTAAGAATGTTAAAATGTATGATTGGCATGCAAAACCTTAAATTAGAGTGAATAAATGAAGACTCGGCACACCACTTCTGAAAGGTTGCTGACCCCTGTGCTAGGCATTCCACCTTTATTACAGAGATCAGTTGATATATATGCTTATATGAAAGTAATCTCTAAGCACATTAAATATATTCATAAATTGGGCTCTGGCCCAACTCAAGTTAAAATCAAAGAATCCCATTTTGTGAAAATGGCCCTGTGAATTAATGAACTTTTAGCACCAGTTTACACATTGGAAACTGAGGCACAGAGAGATGAAGTCACTTCACCAAACCAGTCAGGGAGTTGATGTCAGAGGATGTTTTAGAACCAAAATCTTCTTAGTCCCATTCCAACCTCTCTTGTGCCTTTCTTTTCCCACCAGTACAATGGGGATAATAGTCATTCCTTTTTCCTATACTTTGTCTAGTCTATTTAGGTTCAGATTTTCAAAAAGCTTCCAAGATTTTGGAGCACAAGTCCCATTGGTTGGGGCTCTGATCTTGATTGTTGACACTGGATGGAAGAAGAAGAAGTAGACGTGTACTGCATGGCTAAGCAAAAACTACAGGAGGATGTGATAACTCTTTGAAAACAGACAAAGGGACTTCCCAACATGGATGGGAGTAAGAAAAATGGATTTTTTTAGGAATCTAGTGAGAGGAAACTTGGATAAATTAAGAAAATATTTTTTGTCTGGGTAAGAAATTAAAATGCTCACATGGAGAACAAAGAGACTGTGGAATACACTCCCTAGGAAAGTGGTAATTATATCCATTTATATTAGAAATCAAAAGCACCTGCCATAAGATTTTTCTGTGCTATGGATTAGAGCTGTCAAACCATCACCCAAACTGGAAGAGAGTTTTGCATTATATAGTCACCACATTTTGTCATGGGATATAAATATGAGACAGCAACAAATCCACAAAATGTGCAGGCAAAGAATGAGCCCAGCAAAGAATGAACTGACCCAAACTTCTTAACTCCGATTCTGTCTCCACATTCTAATCATATGGGACCAAATCCTCAGGTACTGTAAAGCCATAAGGTTCTATTGACCTCTATGGAGCTGTGGCCAATTTACATTAGTTGGGGATCTGGTTCCAATGACTTAGTGAAAGAACACTTACTTACACCTGCTGAGGATTTGGATCCATTTTCCTAAAACATAGTTCCCTAGACACATCATTATTTGTAATCATGTAAAGATGTCTTCATCAAACAGGGATAGCTCAGCGGTTTGAGCATTGGCCTGCTAAACCCAGGATTGTGAGCTCAAGCCTTGAGGGGGGCATTTGGGAATCTGGAGCAAAAATCTGTCAGGGATGGTACTTAGTCCTGCTGTGACCTTTCAAGCAGGGCCGGTTCCAGCATTTCTGCCGCCCCAAGCAACAACAAAAAAGCCGCGATTGCCGGCGGCAGGTCCTTCACTCTTAAAGGGAGTGAGGGACCTGCCGCCCCCAAATTGCCGCACGTGCCGCCCCTCTCCCTTGGCCGCCCCAAGCACCTGCTTGTTAAGCTGGTGCCTGGAGCTGGTCCTGCTTTCAAGGTCCCTTCCAGTTCTATGAGATAGGTATATCTCCATATATAATGCATGTGTAATACTTAGATTTTAAAAAACAAATATTTTTTCAGATTATAATAATATATAAAGTATAAGAATTCTCTGTCCATAATTTTAAAAGCGTTTACTTCAAGAACTTACTTGGATCTACTGTAACTTTAGTCCCAGGAGAGTCAGAGTCCACAACAATACAGAGTTATACCAAAACATCACCAAGGAAAAAAAGAAATGGAACTTGCATTTTTCTTTCCATTCCACATTGAGTAAAGGGGAGGATGATTCAACTTCCAGTATGTGATCATTGATTGCATTGATTAATGAGAAAACTTTGTCATTAGAATGAAATATGTTCAGTCAAATCTTCTTCTTAATGTCTCTTACATTCTGTCTTCTTATAGTCCTCTGAGAAGTAAGGGAAAAAATACAGAAATAAATATTAAAAGGTGTCATAAGTTTCACCCACAGATTTGAGGGTCAAAACTTCTATATTTTAACCAGAAAAAAAGCTGTTCTTCAGAGTCTGGGTTTTTGTACAGGTCACCAGGGAATTTCTATCACCGTGTTCCCCAAAGTCCACAGTGATACACGACTTTACAAACCTGTCATCTCTTTCTATATCTGTGGCAGGGTATGAAGGGAGGTGACTTCTCAAAACTCCGTTCATTCCAATTTAATTCAGTTTGCTGCAGCAGGAAGGATCAATTTTATTGAACAAAATGAAGTATGCTCCTAAAAATTTATCCAAATATCTTTACATCTCCTTATTACGTGTATTAAGCTATTGAATTGTCAGACCAAGCAAAGGAGAGAGAGAGAAACATTAATCTTGTTCAGTAACTAGTCCAGTCCTTTCACATACACATTCACACTCTCCTAGGAAAAGTGACTGTTCTTCCCTTCCACGTCTTGTACTAATGCCTTTACCCATTCCAAAACGAAATATCGGAGGGGAGATTTTCTTCAAAAGTTAGTTGAGTCATTCCTTCTGTTTGAATTTTTCAAATTAACAATAAAAAGCCAGGCTTTCTGCCTCAGTATATTCATTGAGAAGATATCAGATCCAGGGTAAAAAATTCAAAATTATTTAACCCTAAGTATCATTTTCAAAAATGACTTAGCACTTACAGGGCCACATTTTCAAAACACCTAAGTGAGTTAGGCACTTAACACTCATTCATTTCAATGGCAGTTAGCTGCCTAAATTGCTTAAGTGCTTTTGAAAATCCCACTAGGCACCTATCTGCATCTTAAAGTGCCTAAATACCTTTTTGAAAATGGGACTTAGACTTCTAGGTCATTTGAAAATTATATCCCCGAACTTCGGTTGCTATAAATCAGCACAGCTGTGGTGAAGTCAATGGAGCTCTGATGATTTATACCAGTTGAGGAGCTGGCCCATCAATTACACATTATTTAGTTTAAAAGTATCAGATAGAATTACAGCTGAGCAATTTGTCTTACCTGGGAGAGTCTTCCCAAACACTTCTAATACTGAGATTTTTAAAAAGAAAATGGCTTTGAGACTCTCATATCCTTTTCCTGAGGATTTTAAGTACTTGGGACTAGTTCCTCATCTGCTGTTCACTGCCATAGCACAGTTTACACCAGATAAGGAATCTGTCCTTTTAGTTCCCAGTGTGAGAAAGAGGAAACGGTATCAACTGCTCATGGGTAGAGAATCCTGACAGCCTGTGGTCGGTGTAACGTTCTCTAGACCAGTTCTATGATCTGTCGTGTGAAGTTCTGGAAGCAATGTTCCCACGCTGTGCCGACTCTTTTGATACACATATTCTGGAACCAGATTAAACAAACTGTAAATTCAAAGGCTTTTCTGAAGTCTCTTCACACTAATCCACTCAGAGGCTCTTTTCTCTGACTCTGAACAAATATTTGCTCTTAGCTGGGAAACCAAAATACATTGATGAGATGAAACTTGCAAACAACAAATGCCAACAAACTCTTATTGAAAGGAAAGAATTCAGGAGAACCAGAGAGGTGGAGATTCTGACTGAGCCAAGCGTAGGCTTGATTTTCAAAGATACTTGGGCCCTCCAAGTGCCTAAGTCACTTTTGAAAATGGGAGTTAGGCTCCTAAACCACTTGGGTACTTTTGAGAAATATACCCTCATGCTCTGTATGCCTCATTTCCCCATGTGCTGACTGGGGGTAACTTGCAGTGTTGTTGTAGCTGTGTTGGTCCCAGGGTATGAGAGAGACAAGGTAGGTGAGATAATCTTTTATTGGACCAGCTTCTGTTGGCAGAAAGTACAAGTTTCTGAGCTTCACCAAGTTACTGACAGAAGCACTGTGAGGATAAATGTTAAAAACAGATACAATGGTATTGTGACCCATATAAATACCATAGA